ACTGTTGCATCATGGGACAAACAATCCACGGTAATACGCAACAAAAAACTCGTGCAGACAATAAATCTGCCCTATAAATATAAAATATCTATTCCTACAAATAATAATAATTTAACATGAAATAATTACATGAAATAAGAAACTATTTAATAAAACTACTTAGTCTTTGTTCCGTTCACGACTAACACTAGAGGGCGCTGTTAAACAAAAAATGCCGTGAAGTCTTAGTGCACCTCGTCAGCTACAGATAGTTATAGAAATACGGAAAAAATATCAGTACTCAAAATGAAATAAGTACTCACAAAATGATAAGGAAATCAATGAATTAGCTTAGTTCAGGGCTTGATGAGAAGCGAGAAAGATTTTTTTAAATGAACTGTGTCACTTGAAAGCACATATGTTCATCATGTACAAGCTTTTGTTTTTTTCTTTTTAACTATTAGTGATCAATGAATTCATCAAAGCTTTTTAGCTTACAAACTGATAAAAAAGAGTTTCAATGATGCAGTATTCGGCACAAGACCACTAAAATGACTTATGTTAAAGTAGAAGACCAAGCAAACAACATATTACTCCCAGATCTTGGGTTGTTTGATTCTCTTCAAAGGAGTAACTAATACTGTAGGTTGATGCACATCACTTTGATTTGTAAAGTCTACTCAAGAGGTCTGACTCAATCCATCTATCAGGTCACTCAAGCACTGTGACATCATATGCTTTTTGCATATGTGCAATTCTTGAACCATTAAAATAACATTGTAAAAAATGTTCACCATGCGCAGGACTGGGAGCTAAATTATTTTTAAATGTGCATTGTTCTTGAAGTTGTAAAATGGCAATGTAAAAAATGGATGAATGTGAATAGTTTTGAGACTGAACACAAATGAAGTATTTGGCAATTGCTTTGATCATTTTATGAGTTACAATGATTGTGAATCATTTATACAATTAATTTGTGTTATGCTGTTGACATTTGTGTTCTTGCTATAAACGTAATATCATTCATTACCATGAGATACACACCATAACTACTCTGATTACTCATCACTCAATACTAAACAAGTAATGTCATTTGTTACTTTACATCTGTTGTATTCAACTTTACCTACAAAAATTACATAGTTTGTAACCATGTCCGATTTTTCTCTTTATGCCAGGTTCAAGAACAGACCAAAGATGACCTTTGATGATGCTGGAGGTGAACCTGATCAAGTATTTGAAATGCATCCAGACAATACAGGACAACTGGAATATGCTACAAAGTAAGTACGGGCAGTCACATATACTCTACTGGCTTATACAATTGTCATGTTACATGTATGTGTGGGTCCTTTGTATAAGATACTGGACATGTGTAGTTTGATTTTTTCCCTCAATATACTTATATTCATTTACATTTTCCAAAGCAGGGAGACCTAGATTAATGAATATGTATGCATACATCTGTTGGTATGCCTGGAATAAACTTATATATATTATTATACATCTGTCATTGTAACGCTATAAGTTACAGCATGCCATAATTTTGCGGTTTTGCACTGGGTAGTTTCATCATACCATATTAGGAAATGCCAATTCCAAATATGGAATGATTACATGTATAAGATGTATAATAATAAGGTTATTATGAGGATACCTCAAGTATGCACTCAGACAGTACGCCGTTGCATCAACCTCCGTTGCGTGTTGGTCGATACTCCTGCTGTACTGTCTTTGTGCATACTTTAAGGTATCTTCGTAATAATCTCATATTACCAAACTTCACACATCATTTATTTTGATTGGCCTAACCTTGCTTACTGTAACAGTCAAGATTTAGATTAAGTAAGGTATTGATATATTTATTATCTGTGAAATAGATTCTCACTATGGTGGTTTACTGGTTTGCAAATGAGACTAGCTTGTTACTGTTATTTTCAACATCTCTACTGCCTCTTACTTGCCATTACAGAATCACCAAGTTTTCTGGTGTTCATCATCTTTCAATTTATTTTTCGAAAAACTTTGGTGCTGACACAACAAAAGTTTACTATATAGGACTCCGAGGTGACTTCACTGAGGTGAGTATAATATTGAGTTCAAGTCAGTTTATTGTCAACTAAAGCTACTATATAGGACTCCGGTGACTTCACTGAGGTGAGTATAATATTGAGTTCAAGTCAGTTTATTGTCAACTAAAGCTACTATATAGGACTCCGCGGTGACTTCACTGAGGAGAGTATAATATTGAGTTCAAGTCAGTTTATTGTCAACTAAAGCTACTATATAGGACTCCGAGGTGACTTCACTGAGGTGAGTATAATATTGAGTTCAAGTCAGTTTATTGTCAACTAAAGCTACTATATAGGACTCCAGGTGACTTCACTGAGGTGAGTATAATATTGAGTTCAAGTCAGTTTATTGTCAACTAAAGCTACTATATAGGACTCCGAGGTGACTTCACTGAGGTGAGTATAATATTGAGTTGAAGTCAGTTTATTGTCAACTAAAGCTACTATATAGGACTCCGCGGTGACTTCACTGAGGTGAGTATAATATTGAGTTCAAGTCAGTTTATTGTCAACTAAAGCTACTATATAGGACTTCGCGGTGACTTCACTGAGGTGAGTATAATATTGAGTTCAAGTCAGTTTATTGTCAACTAAAGCTAACAATTTAAAGGGTAGTAGTCGTCGCACCATGCATGTGCGAGATTTATGGGTCTCATATACTGTAAAATACTTTATTTTCGCTTGATATTTATTTTTGCTATTTTCGCTGAAGGTGTGATCCAATGAATATTCCTTTTTTCTTATATTTCCCATTCAACTCATCAAAAATCAGTGAAAATAAATTCCATCAAAAAACGATACAAACGAGTACAAACTGAGAGGTTACCAAGCTTTAATTAGGTATTTTTTTAGGTGATTGAAAGGTATCGAAGGAGTCATCGGTGGTAATTAGTGCCCAGGTCAAACCTCATACTTGTGCATTGAATTGTGGGAAAAATCAATGTTTATCAACACACATGAGCAGCGCGAGGACTACCACCCTTTAATTTAGATTTTTAGGGGTTTTGATTTGGAATGCATAATGTGGCAAATAACATTGGCGGTGCTTTTGTGAGATTTGGAAAAATTAACTATGCCCTCTATGGCTTGATTTAAAAATTGTTTTCTTTAACACTGCCCTCTATGGTCATTATGGTAGTGACTGCAGTACTTGTTTATATAACACTGATAAAATAGGAGCATTTACTCCCAAACACAGATGATTATTCGCGCAATATTATACATTATGATATACATGAATTTTATTGTCCAAAACAATACAAACAAAATCCAGCCAAATTTCTGTGAATTAAGGGTCAATACAAGCTTCAGATGGATGTTTCTATTCTAAACCATCTGTCAATACCGTACTCGTTCAACCGAGTGCCCAGGGTACTCTGCTCCAAAAATCACTTGTATTAGGGGGATGGGTGCTTACCCGATCACACAGCTTGAAAAAGTGTGCAAATGACAATTCTAGTTGACCAGGTGACAGATTGAGGAAAATATTACGTCTGTTCGGATGAAAATAAAATTGTTAAGTTAGTTGCGTTGTCATTGATTTCAAAAACACTTTTACAATGAAGAATAGTCACAAAATATACTCAAATTTCATTACAATAATAATTACGTACAACCAGAGGTTACAAGGTTAAAATTATTATTAGCATAAAAATGTAAATTGTTAGTTGGTTTGACCTGCATAGGTCATTTTGATGGGGATTGAAATGACTCTGGAAATAGAAATGACCCAAAAGTGGGATGAGCACTTAGCCGAGCTTGGGAGTTAAGTCAGACGAGTACGATATATTCCCATGTGTATTTTACTTCAATTATCAAAGGTAAATAAAGAGATACAGATAGAATATATGCTGAAGATTTTAATGTTCATAAGAAATTATGTCAAGCCCCTTTTTAGCTCCGCTGTCGACTTTGTCGAGCGGAGCTTATCATATGAGTGATTGCTTGTCGTCGTCCGTGTCAATGTATTACTTTTTCAACTTCTTCTTGAAAACTACAAGCCTGAATGCTTTGATACTTAGTGTATATGTACCTTGGGTAGACCTCTCTCAGATTTGTTCATTTCATGATGATATATTCAATTCTCTAATTTTGGTGAATATTTTTGTCATTTTTGGTAAAAAGTGATATTTTCGACTTCTTGTTAAAAACCGCAAGTCCAATTGCTTTGATATTACATAAATAGGTACTACATGTGGATCTCTCTCAGATTTGTTCATTTTGTAATGATATCTATGGTGAATATTTTTGTCGTTTTTGGTAAAAAGTGATATTTTCGACTTCTTGTTGAAAACCGCAAGTCCAATTGCTTTGATATTACATATATAGGTACTACATGTGG